AGTTTTTATTTCAGTGGGAGGTTGGATATTGACCCCAAGGCCACCATGGGTCCCGAAAAGGAAGTCGAAGCACCTGAACAGATGACAGTCGATGACCTGACGGAGGGGGCACCCAAAAACAGCGAGGCCGCCTCCCCCCTAGCGGGGGAGCAAATGGACCTCTGAAAGTAACTTTAAATCCAACATCTGTCTCATGGGCAAGGATGTTGGAAAAAAGATAAATATAATACAATGCAACCTCTAACACAAAGAGGCGGCAACGGCAACACTATGTCGCCACCTTTGATGTATTGGGGAACAATAGCTTTGATCCAGGAGGCCTGGATGATAAAGACTAAAGTTACTGGTTTCAGTAGCCTAACTGGTAACATTTTCAGCTTGCCAAGCAATCAGCAACCTAGGACGGTTGTTTACCTTCCTAGGAATTAAAGAGCCTTTCCGATGGCACAATTCAGCATCTCAGACCTCACTGCGGTTAAACTGGAATGTCCAGATGGAAAATGCAAATATACGGCGTTGATAGTCGCATCGGTGTACCTCCCTACTAGAGGATCACCGCCTCAAACAGAGCTTATATTGGGTTGTGACTCAAACTCTCATCACTTGAGCTGGGACAGCAAGGATATCAACGCCCGAAGTGAGTCCCTATATGAATATATAATTAAGAAAGATCTACAATCTTGAACAGAGGAACGGAGTCGACATTTATTAACGCACGTAGCCAAACATTAATAGATATCACGCTAACGACAGCCAAAATATCAAACAAAATCCAGGACTGGCAAGTCTCGGACCATATTTCTATGTCAGCCCACCGCTGGTTGACCTATCGGGTAGCTAGGATCTCAGGACCACTGTAAAATCCCGTGAACCGAAGAGGACGGATGTAGCTCCCTACAATCGACTCTCAAAAGGAGCTCTGCGGGAAACAGAGGTCCCGACTCCTGGAATAATGAAGAACTGGAAAGGTACACGGTATCTATCCAAAACAAAGTAGACATTGCCTACAAGGAATCCTGTTCGATGAGAATAGTTCAAACAGATGGCACAACCAATACATGGTGGTGCCCTGAACTGGAACACCTCAGGAAGACAGCGAGAACGACCTTTCGACAAGGCAAAACGTACAAGACTCGAAGAGGACTGGGGAATATATAAAGCCAACCTCAGAAATTCTGCAGACTTTTTTGAACTCTCTGCAGACTTCTTTGAACTGCCTGGAGAGCCTACTGTGAGGCAGTCGAAGATTTCCTGACGAGGTAAAATGGCGACACAGCCACCAACCTCCAAGAGAGTGCTGAGATTCTTATAGAAACTCACTTCCCAGGTTTTGTCTTTCCTGGAAAGACGAACTGGGCGGAAGTACCACAACACCCTCACGATACTACTGGAAATCTGCTTTTCCCCCTTCAAGTCACCAGGACCTGATGGTATAAGACCAGCCCTATTTCAATGGGGACTGGATATTCTTATGCCGCACCTGGTTGGAATATGCAGAGCCTCTCTAGCTCTGAGGTATATTTCCAGTAAGTGGAGAGAAGTACGAGTAGTATTTATACCAAAACCAGGTAGGATGGACTACACCAAAAGTCTCACATCGTTCTTCTCAAAAACTATGGAGAGGCTATGTGAGCGGTACATAAGAGATGAAGTACTAGTTCACAACCCACTTCACCCAAATCAGCATGCATATACTCCAGGAAAGTCTACTGATTCGGCCCTTTACCATGTGGTTGGCAGAATCGAGATCATTGGACAACAAAGAATCCATCCTGGGTATATTCATAGATATCGAGGGAGCGTTTGATAAAAGAACCTAACAACAACAATTACCTAGCAACTACACTCGATGATGTCCACAGGGAGGGGTCTTATCACCCCTTCTCTGGAACATAGTTCTGGATACCCTGATTAATCACGTCAACAATAATGGATTCTATACAATTGCATATGCAGATGACCTAGTTATTTTGCAGACCGGCAAATTTGTAAACACACTGTGCGATAGAGCGCAGGATGGGCTCAAATTAATAGAAACATGGTGTAAGGAACACTCAATGTCGATCAATCCCAAGAAGAGATGGTCTTTTTCACCAGGAAAAAAAGTTTATCGAGCTCAAAACCTCCCAAAATCTTTAGAAAACTAAACTTCTCTGAAGAGGTGAAATACCTTGGTACTATCCTCGACAGGTAGCTAACATGAAACTCTCACCTACAGAGTAGAGCACAAAGAGCATATGTGGCTTATGAGCAATGTCGAAGAACAGTGGGACGCACATGGGGTATTTCACCCCGTGTGGTCACCTAGATCTACACTGCAATAATAAGACCTATGTTAACGTACGGAGCCATTGTATGGGGACCGAAAGTTCTACAGGCAACGGCCATCTAAAAATTATATCAAATACAGCGACTGGCTTGTTTAAACATCACAGGAGCAATGAGAACAACACCAACCGCGACAATGGAATCAATTACTGGTCTGACCCCCCTGGACCTGTACGTTGAGGAGGTTGCGTTAATGGTCATGTTACTGCGCAACCTCTGATGCAGGCAACCAGTGATGCAATTGAACCCAGGTTTGGGTTTAATAAACCCTACAAAATACAAATAAAACAGAACAAAGTCAGATGCTACAAATGCAATACATATTTACAGACGGCTCAAAAAATAAAAAATTGTCAGGATGTGGAGTGTACTTCAGATCAATAAGCCTAAGGATTAAGTGGGGAATGGTAAAAAATACCAGTGTGGTCCAAACAGAACTGGCTGGTATCTCAGTCGCCACAAAAGAAATTACCAGGAAAGGAATTTCTGGCAAAAACATAACAATCTGCACTGACAGCAGACAAGCCCTATTAGCCTTGGACAGACAACGTTTTACCTCAGGGCTAGTACTAGAGTGCCACCAAGATTTAGCCAAAGCCTCGGTAGATAATAACATTATCCTGAGGTGAGTTAAAGGGAACGAAAGGGCCGACTCTTTAGCCAAGGAAGCGGCTGGACTAAGAATTTTAGGCATCAGGCATCAGGCACCTACTGCCTGATGACTTCGACAATTGCGGAACTAGCCAAGTGTTACACCCATGCTAAATCCCTAAAGAGATGGGATGGAATCGAAGGATGCAATCTTGCATCTCTGGGCGACCCTGGGAAGCTGGCGCCAAAGAAATATCTGGTGATGACCAGGAAAAATCTATGCTCAACAGTAGTATTTCTGACTGGCCACTGTCAACTAAGGAAACACCTCCATAATATGGGGCTAGTGGACACACCTCTATGCAGGATGTGAAACTGTCAGGCATGTCCTATGCGATTGCCCGGAGTTATCGTCAATAAGAGAGAGAGTTCGGCGAGTCTTGGCCTTAACCTGCCGTTATAAAGGAGATGTCTCCCAGTGACCTGTCCACCTTCCTAAAAAGGACAGGATGATCAATGACCTAGGAGGACAACTCCTCGGGAGGATGTACAATGGGTCACATGTGGCCTAAGTGCTGTGGGCTTACACTCACCCTCCCTACTCTACAGATACAGAGATTCTTCAGAAGGGAATTTTTTCTTACCTATTTTGTCCTCGTGGCAAGTTTTTCTTTTTCTTTTCATCGCATTTGAAAGCTTTTTATTCAATTTTATTCAATTCTTTTTAGTCATGCTGAAAATCTGTACCCAAAATCCCCACAATCCAATTTTGAATCGAATCGGATCAAAATTACAAATCTCATCCGCTATCCTGCACCTGCTATTGTTTTTCTCCAAGAAAATTTCCATAATGCATTGTAATCGCAATGATGAACACCTCTCAGTCAAGTCTCAGTTCAAATTGATCGGACAACTAGAAGTGGTTCAAAAGTCAGCAGCAAGATTTGTCCCACACATACATACATACTAACTATCCGGGACAAGTTGGATAAAAGCTTTTAAAAAAAATGAAGAACCTTACATAAAAATGGTTAATTCTATTCAGGATAGGGTAGAAATATCATTTCAAAAATAATGAATGTGCCAACACAGCCCGTAGAAATAAATGATCGAGACCCAAACAAAAACGTGAATCGTAAATACATTTTGGAACTAATTTCAAAATTTCGACAAACGGGATCTGTAGCAAATAAAAAATATCAAATTGAAAACCCAATAAGAAACGAAGCGGTGGTGATAGCCGTTTCAGGACAGCTTGCTGCGGATCAAACTCTTGGTACACGAAAGCTTGCTGAATTATCTGGAGTAAGTCGAGGTACCGTCGGGAGAATTTTGAAAGCTCACAGATTCCATCCATATAAAATTAAACAGTTTCAGGAATCTTAAGAGAAGGTTTTCCATTTCTTTTTTTCAAAAACTTTTATTCAACTTATTCTGGATAGTTAGTATGTATGTATGTGTGGGACAAATCTTGCTGCTGACTTTTGACCCACTTCTAGTTGTCCGATCAACTGGTTTCTGGTCCGATCTGGTCTCTCAACAACTGTACCAGAATGAGTTAGAATTTGTTGTTGTTTTATAAGTTCATGATTTGTATTTTAGAATTATTAAAAGTTATCTGTATATTTGCAGGTTGTAGTTCAACCTTATCGGAGCATACAGATGCCTTGGTTTGGTTGTCTTGAACTATATGACTTTTATCAAGGGATTAAGGTTTAGATTTGATAATAATAATAATAAGTCGACTTTATTCATCAAAAATAAATTAGATGAACAGTCGGATTATCAGCATAAGCTGTTTTTCAAATCAACCTTAATAACATAATTTTTATCGGTTGCTTTGAAAATATCATCCGTTATGGAGAGGAGTGCGGAAGTCGTACTATGTTGAGAACGAAACCCAGACTGAACGTTAGTTATGATATTGTACGAAGTAATGAATTCAATCAACTGATCTTTGAGAATCAGTTCAAGCGTTTTAGATAGGTAAGGTAAAATACTAATGGGCCTAAGATCAGAGTAATGTGTCGGAGAGTTACACTTGGCTAAGGGAATCACAAGTGCATGTTTCTAAAGGGAAGGAAAACACGAGGAAGTGATACACGAATTCAGTATAAAGGTAATGTATTCCAAGAGATGTGTTTCCACCAAACGAATCATTCAAAGTGAGATACTGTCCGAACCTACAGCGTTGCTTCCGATTTTATTTAAAAACTTCTGTACAGTATGTTCGTCAACGGGAGAGAACCTGAAAGAATCTGCAGTGTTCTTAGTTTGGTACTTTTCAAGAAGCGATGATTGAAATTGTGTTTTGTCAGGGAGGGTAATATTGCAAAAGAACTGATTGATTTCATCTAGATTTTTCAGGTTAGGTGGTAGTTCAGGGTTTGACTTCTGACGCAAGATGTCTAAATTACGTAATGTGCTCCACGTTGCCTTGGCATTTTTCTTCAAAAGAACAAATTGAAGATACGCTTTTTTCTCCCGACGAATAGCAGATGTCGTATAGTTCCTCAGTTCTTTATAGCTATCCCATGCTACAATGGTTTTAGTTTGCTTATATTTTTTAAATGCGGGGTCCCTTAAAGATATCATCTGACGGATGTTGTACGTCAAACAAGGTGCGGGTGGCTTGGTAACTCTGATATTTCGAAAAGGAACATGGAGATCAAATAGAGTAATGAGATTATTGTTGAATGTTATTACCATGTCGTCAACGTTATCCAACCTGTATATTTCATCCCAGTCAATTGATGTAAGATCAGTCAAAAAGCAATCTTTATCAAAATTAGAAAAATCGCGATAAAAAATCCACTTGAAGTTATTCTTTTTGGTGCCAAAATTCTTGATAGTACACGAAATGACCATATGATCTGAGATTCCTTGAATAACAGTAATATTCACATTTGAAATTATTTCAGGATGCGAAACAATCAGGAGATCAAGTAAAGTTTGACGTCGAGGGGTAACTCTAGTGGGGGAAGTAATTAACTGGGAAAAGTTAAAGGTCGAAAGAAATTGATAAACGAGATCGGAACGGTTATCGATTGACAAAAGGTTAATATTCAAGTCACCCGCCATTATAAAATAGTCACTCGCAGGTAAAAGATTAGAAACCGTTTCTTCTAATTCATTGAGGCACGTTAAAATATTAGAATTGGGTGGACGATATAATATTCCAAAACAAAAGTTTTTACCCGAATTTACTGAGATCCAGAGCTGTTCGAGCTCAGGGCTGATTTTATGAAAGGCAACATTATAGTTTAAGGTGTTCTTTATATACGCCGCCCCCTCTATCATCTCTATCGGATCTGACAATATGATAAGAATGAATAGCCACAGATTCAGAATTGATATCTAAGTTAAGCCATGTTCCACTCAGGCCGCAGATATGGATTTCATGATTTTCAAGAAAAGTTTTGAGATAGTCAAGTCCAGTGAACACAGACATCACATTCAGATGAACAAAATTGAAAAACGCTGCCATAAATGATTATAAATTATAAAAAAAATATATTAAGGAGAAATATGTAAAACAATTGGCATATATTTCTAGGTATAACAGATATATAATTTACGATAAATTACTTCGAAGTCTTATTTTTTTTTGTTGTTTGATTCATGAACTCGAAGTTCTTCTGTAGTCCTCTTGGATTTCAGGCGTGTGTTTCGTTCTCCTGCAGCGTCTTTCTTATCTTCCTCGCTCTTAATTATCTTTAGTGGATCGCTTTTTATTTCTTCAACGCTGTACGCTTTGTTGTCAACTAATAACTTGCCTTTCACGATTTTTGCCTCAATTTTATTTTCCAATGCAAGCTTCCAGTAATCTTTTATGGTCCTTTCATTACTGAGTTCCTCTTCTGTGCCATCTGTGCCCTTTAGCTTGAAGGTATTCTTCAGTATATCACTTTTTATTTTATTGTGAAGTAATTCAAGGAAAATTGGCCTCACTCTATCATTAGCTAAGTAACCAATACGAAAGATGTTTCTGACGTGAGATTCTTCAATTTCGATGTTGAGCTTATTATGAATAAATTCGGATAAACTAACTATGTGTGTGAAGTGTATATTGAATCTTCGATATAAAGACTGAAGGTGGTGTTTTATATTCAGCAGTTAAAAAGTGCCACTGATAAGCTGCGAAGTTTTTATATGTGGTTTTGAATGAGAATCAGAATCAGGAAATAATTTGAAACATGCAATAAATAAGTCTGGCTCTTACATGTGACAAGATATTCGAACGGGAAGATACTAAATGGTTCCGCTGAGTCTTCAGCAATACAAGGAACTAACTTTCAAGTTTTATAGCCACTTAATTAACGAGAAATTTGGACTTAGTTGGGAGCACATTTTGGCATACACTTTACACTTTATACACGATGTTTAGAGGTTCAGATACTGAAGTGAAGATAAAGTGAAGATAACATCACTATCAGTAGAATCATTTTCAAGCTCAGGCTCATGAACATCGTTTTCAGTAGTTTCGAAGATGTTATCTGAAAGTCTGATATCAGCACGGTTTTTTCTGATAGTGTTGCCACTCTAACATACAGAGTGGGGCACTGAAAATCAAACAGATCCAATATCTTCAAAACACGTATTTTCTGAAAGAAAATGCAAAAACACGTCGATTTGTAATCCAAGGGGGACATCTTTCTATCATAACCTCAACTGTCATACCAATCCCCCCACCTCTCTGTCACTATCACCCAAACAATTTTAATAGGGAAAGTAGTAAGTGTGACACACTTGGTCCAAAAAACGATCGTCGCCCGACCCGTCGAGTAGGCGAGACGGGGTCAAAGAAGATGTTCGCCCAACGGAGTTCCTGGAACCCCCACAGGGAAGGTCACACGACCTCACATCCATACACTCGCAAAGACAATCAGAGGAGACGGGAATGAATCAGGTAGGTTATGCAGGTCGTCTCAATCATTTTCATGAACAATGGACATCAATTACTAGTAATCCAGTAGTGCTGGATTGGATTCAAGGTTACAAGATCCCATTCACTGAAAAACCAGTCCAAGGCGTACCACCGGGGCCACAATCATTTTCCAATACCGACCACACCCTCATGAACCTCGAAGTACAAAAATTGTTATTTAAAGGGGCCATTGAACAATGCGCGGTTTTTTCTCACGGAAAAATCAAATGGCGAAACACGATTCATTCTCAATCTGAAACAGTTGAATGTCTTTCTGGTACATCACAACAGCTTTATGGCGACATTCGATCTGCGAGACGTCTCAAACGCAAAGGCAAATTATACCAGTTCAATTGCCTTCCCTTTGGGCTTGCATCAGCCCCATTTGTGTTTACAAAATTATTGCGCCCAGTAGTGGAACACCTGCGCACCAGAGGGGTGATATGCGTCAACTATCTAGACGAGTTTTTGCTAATAGGTCGATCAAAAAACGAATGCCTCGAAAGCATTCAAAAAACCACTTTTTTATTGGAAAACTTGGGTTTTCTAATCAAAAAAAATAAAAGCGTACTCAACCCTCTCACCAAATGCAAATTCCTTGGGTTTATCTTTGACTCAAAACGACTCACTCTAGAACTACCATCGGAGAAGAAACAGCGGATATTGAAATAGACAAATACACTCATCCTCCTTCCCCGATGCAAAATTCAAATATTTGCACGCTTCCTATGCATCTGCTTGCCCTGCCGTCAAATTCGGCTGGACATATACCAAGCGTTTCGAACGAGGAAAATTTCTTGCCCTGAGACACAGCAAAAAGAATTTCAATGCCTACCTCAGAATAAACCCGGGAATTATCGAAGACCTGATTTGGTGGCAACAAAATATACTGTCTTCATATAACAATTTGAAAAATGACTCTTTTCAGTTAGAAATATTTACAGACGCCAGCCTTTCGGGCTGGGGCGCTGTTTGCCAGCGCGAAAGGACCCATGGATGGTAGACGAATACTGACACAAACACACATATCAATATACTTGAACTGAAGGCTATATATCTAGGGTTACAATGCTTTGCGAAAAACCTAAAAAACATTAACATTTTAATGAGAACAAACAATACTACTGCCTTAGCTTGCGTGAACAAAATGGGCAGCATCCAACACGAAACATTGAATACCCTAGCCAGAGACATCTGGAAGTTTTGTGAACTCAGGAACATTTGGATTTTTGCATCATACGTACGATCAAGTGACAATTCTCAAGCCGATGCAAAATCCCGAGTATTACGTTCAGACACCGAATGGTCCCTGAATGAACAAATATTCGATAATATCATTCAGACCTTTAGACTCCCTGATATAGACATGTTTGCCTCATTCGTCAACGCAAAATGCAAGCGATATGTGTCCTGGCAAAAAGACCCGTTAGCAGAAGCAGTAGATGCTTTTACTTTGAACTGGCATAACCACCATTTTTATGCATTTCCTTCTTTCGCCCTTGTTCTTCGTACCTTACAGAAGATAATAACTGATAGGGCAACAGGAATTATGGTAGTAACCCTTTGGAAGTCACAACCGTGGTACCCATTGTTCATGAGGATGGATCTAGGAAAACCCTTATTCCTGGGACCAAACACTTATCTTTTGTCCTGCCCTTACAGCAATCGGAAACACCCACTGAGTCACGAGCTTACCCTGGTAGTGGCCCGTTTATCCGGCAGGCATTCGAACTGAGGAGCATACCAGAGGAGGCGATAGAAACCATGTTAAATTCATTGGCCACTTCAACAGTCAAGCAATACAACAGCACTTATAAACCTTGGTGGATTTTTTGCCAGAACAGGGAGATTTCACCATTCCTTGGTTCTGTAGCCGACGTATTGTTCTTTTTCCAGAGCTTGCTGAACAATACAAACCTGATTTATGGCAGCTTCAACTCACACCGGTCTGCCCTCTCGCTAACCTCAGCACTTGACCTAGAGGATAACCTTCTTATAAAACGCTTTATGAAAGGCGTTTTCCGCTCGAGACCTCCCAGGCCGAAATATGAATCGACCTGAAATCCTCATCAAGTCCTGAAGTATTCAGATATAGTGGAGAATTCGAGGTTGAAAGCGCTCTCTCTAAAATTACCCACCCTGTTGGTGCTAGCCACCGGCCAACGAGTTCAAACCCTCTCTCTCATCAAATGTTCGAACATTACTGCCGATAAAACAGGTGTTAAGATTTTCATTCTAGACCTAATTAAAACTTCGGCTCCTAACAAGAGCCAGCCCTGTTTAATCCTTCCATATTTTCACAAAAAACCCAACTTATGTGTAGTCTCTCTAATTCAGAAATATTTAGACGCGATAAAGGAAGTGCGCAAGGATAACTGCAACTTTTTCTGGCTGACATACAAAAAACCTCACGGCCCTGTATCAAAGCAGTCCTTGAGTCACGAGATAAAAAACACCCTCAACGCAGCCGGTATAGACACCGCCGTGTTCACGGCCCATTCTACCAGACACGCGTCGACGTCAGCAGCAGCCAGGATGGGCCTCAGTTACGAAACCATCCGCACATCCGCAGGCTGGACAAAGGACTCAATCATGTTCGGTCAATTCTACAATAGGCCGCTTGCACAAACCGAGAGCATCTTGCCGGCCGTATTCGACGACAGTGACTCCTGATTCCTGTCTTTATTCGAAGAGAAATAGCAATACTATTACTATACTTAAAATGTGGATGTCAATCAATTCCTTTCTTCAAACAACTCGAATGTTTCGCATACTTATGTCTCTAAACATCTACCTGGTAACAATTATGTGATATTGAGGAATGGACGCCGAAATATAATTATATAATCACAAGAACTTACCTGGAGTTCCATTGTAATTATATGAGGCGTCCATTCCGAAAATATCACAGTCCCACCCGCCCGCAAATGCGAACCCGATACATGAGAAACATTCATTCTTTAAACCGAATGAAGACGAGCGGGAAGACGCAGAGCGAGGTGGTGGGACAGTCACAGGACCGGAGCAGGGACGATTTTCTTTGAACTTTGTGGGCAGAAGCAAGGATTGCACATGGGCCGAAGCAAGGATTGCACATACTACCTGGTAACAATTATGTGATATTGAGGAATGGACGCCTCATATAATTACAATCGAACTTCAGGTAAGTTCTTTTGATTGTATAATTATTTACGAGAATACCTTTCTTTAGATGTTTTTCTCTGATATGATAAATCGAAATTTCGCCCGGACAGTGCTACCTTTTTTTTTACGAAAATACCTTCTTTTAGATGTTTTTCTCTGATATGGTAAATCGAAATTTCGCCCGGACGATGCTACCTTTGAGAACACGTCGAAGTGGATAGGGTCAGACCTTTTTGAACTTTATTGCCTTGTACGTAGCGACTAAACCGCAAATTTTCCGAAATCATATGAATGGTGGTGTTCCTATTTTGACCGTGTGGACGTGGAATTAAGAGCTTTTCACGAATTTGCGTAGTAGCGGGCTATAGGAATCTACACATCACTAGTAGCTAGATAAGTAACGACTAGAAGTTTTATTTATGGTGTTGTTTTTGCGGGATCCTGACATTATTATTTACGAAAGCAATGAACCTTGCTGAATAGGTGTTTCCGAATAGTTTTGTCTTCGCCTTTGTATAAGCGTTTAGTTTGTAGTATAAATGAAGAATAAATCCGTTGAACAGGCGTATTTTGGGGAAGCAACATTCAACGTTTTTATTCTTGTTCCTTTGTCGTATTCCACCCTACTGTTTTCGCGTATCTGGATTGTTTAGTAGTTTCATTTCATGTTTAGGCTAGTCGATACACAAGAAACTACTTGGCGCCCTTGTTATCATTTTTTTGTACATATTTATACTTATCTGTCGGATTTAACCCACGGCACTTACGAGCAAGCACATTACTTGCCTTACACAAAAAAAGGACAGAAGTGTTATTCCTAATGTTTTAGAAATAAATGTCTGTGATAGATACATTTTTTTTATTATTGAATTTAATGTAATATCTTTTTAGTCATACTGGAAACTTGCAAAACCCAATATGCCAATTTTGAATCGAATCGAACCACAATTACAAATATCGTCCGCCATCTTGATTTTTGCATCGACAAAACAATCATAATTTCCTACCCTGAAAATCCCCACATACTAATTTTGATTCAAGCCGGTCCATAATTGCAAATTTCGTCCGTCATTGCAGAGCCATCATTTTGTTTTTTTTCCTTAGAAACATTCCATAATGCATTGTCACCGAATTTATGACTAGCTTGCAAATGAAGTATCATAATTTGGAATACGGAACAGTTTTTTCCCGCAAGAGGGCGCCAAAATTTAAAGTTAGTTAGCGAAAATTGACATGGCCGAATTCCTTATGAAATTACCTTTTCAATGATGTGTCACACTTACTTCTTTCTCTATTCAAATTGTTCGGATGATAGTGACCGAGGGGTGAAGGGAAAGATATGATAGTA